TTCTTCTTTCTCTTTCGCCCTCTCCCTCTTCGGCGGCGGCGGGCCCTGGCGCAGCGCCGACCTGGGGGCCGGCCCCCCTCGGCGTTGCAGGTGGAGGTCCACGGAGATTCCCGTGCCGTTCAAGGAGGCTGTGCTTGATATCGGGGTTCCCATCGAAGTGCCAGAGGTGCGGAATTACGCGGATTAGGGTGGGGTCTCGCCCCATCATACTAACGTCCATGCTCCTGCCATGGTGTTCTAACTGGCAGGCTTGCTGGAAGTCATGGCCATCGCCATCAGCAGAGCGCAGTGGGCGAAAATATGTTCCTGACGGGGGCCGCGGCTACGCGGAGCTCGTGGCGGCCAGCGCAGACTCCACAGGGGCGCTGGATCGGGTCGTGGCGCGCGCAGAGGCTTCAGGCGGACGCGGGCAGCGCCGACATCTTCGGGAAGGGGATGGAGTAGCGAGGCTGGTGCCTCGGTGTGCGAGTGCGTGGTCGCTGGTGCTGGGGCGCGTGGCCGCAAAACCCACTTTGGCTATTTTCGTTGTTTGCTCAGCTACATTGGCGCCGCCGCCAGCGCAGCATGGTGGCGCCGACGCCAGCATCCTCGCCAGCATAGCCGGGAACACGGGCTGCAACATCCTCGTCAGCACAGCGGAGGCCAACATCCGCGCCAGCGCCGCTAAGAGCGCCGACGCCAGCATCCTCGCCAGCGCAGCGCAGAGTACCAACGCCAGCATTTGCGCCAACTCAGCCAGGATCACCGACGCCAGCATCTTTGCCGCTACAGCTGGGGGCACCGACGCCAGCGTCCTCGACGGCACATTTGAGAGCATTGACCCCAGAATCCTCGCCAGCACAGCTCGGTCAGGAACGCCGATGCTTGCGTCCTCGCCAGCACAACCAGGCGCATCGACGCCAACCTCTTCGCCAGCGCGGTCAGGAACACCGACGACAGAGTCCTCGCCAGCATAGCCAGCAGCACCGACGCCAGCATCCTCGCAAGCACAGCCGGGAACACCGGCGGCAGCATCTTCGCCAGCGCAGCCGAGAGCACCGAAGCCAGTATCCTCTCTAGCGCAGCCAGGAGCACCGACGCCAGCATCCTCGCCATCACAACCAGGATCACCGCCGCCAGCATCTCGCCCACAAGCGCAGCCAAGAACACCGACGCCAGCATCCCCCCGCCAGCGCAGTCAAGAACACCGACGCCAGCATCCTCGCCAGCGGTGCCGAGATCATCGACGCCAGTATGCTTGCCAACGCAGCCGGGGATACCGACGCCAGCATCTTCGCCAGCACAGCCGAGATCACCGACGCCAGTATGCTTGCCAGGGCAGCCGGGGGCACTGACGCCAAGGTGATCGCCAGCGCAGCCGGGGGCGCCGACGGCAGCAACCTCGCCATCGCAGCGGTAAGCACCCACGCCAGCATCCTCGCCAGCACAGCGGGGAACGCCGATGCCTGCATCCTCGCCAGCACAGCCAGAAACATCGACGCCAGCATCCTCGCCAGCGCAGCCAGGGGCACCGACGCCAGCATCTTTGCTTACGCAGCTGGGAGCACCGACGCCAGCGTGCTCGCCAGCACACTGGCAGACCCCTCTCAGTCGGTCGCCCGAGTCGCTCAGGGGCCGCGCGGGGACGGTGCAGTTTTGTAATAGATTTTTTGTTTTGTTTTATGTGTGTGTGTAGGAGTGCGGTCGTCCAGACTGATGCTCCTGTCCCTGCAAGTCCATGGTGGTCCTGCCATTCCTTTTTCCCTTCTCCCGGCCTCTCCCCTCCACCTCCTCCTCCACCTCCTCCTCCTCCTCTTCCTCCTCCTGGGGGTGGGTCGGTTGAGTCCTCGCGACATTCTACGGCTACCGGATGAAACCTTTCAAGGAATAATCATGATTTTATCGGTCTGCGAGCACACCCAGACTTGGCCTCATGAGGCCCCCCTCAATATCGGCACCCTTCCTTCTCCCCAAGAAGGTAGCGGGAGACAGAATCATCCGACTTCTTCCAGATATGTCAAGGGTTTGGTCCCAGGCACGCGAGCGACATGTCGAGAAGTGGACCTCGGACTGCGGGGCGTACTGGGACGCGGCAATCAGGGCAACGCTGCAGTGCGGGAAGTATTTCTCAGATCGATCGGCGAGGAGCTCGCGGCCAGGCCTCAGATGCATCGTGGCAGCGTGCTCCTCGATATCAGCAAATTGCACGACTCCATCGGTTGGCTACAGCTTGGCAGGGCAGCCATGCGGCCAGATTTCCCAGCTGAAGTTTTGGGCCTGGAGCTGCTGCAGTGCTCGGCGGCTCGATGTCTGCGGCAGGGAGGTGCGTGCACGGAGCCATTCGCACCGCCCCGATCGGTGGTCCGCGGGGCTCCGATGAGGCACTCGATTTGCCAAATGTACCACGTATCGCGTGATGCAGAGGCTCACCGCAGCACGTTGTCGGATGTCTCAACGCCTGTGGTTAGGTGATCTCAGCCAATCGATCACAAGTTCCAGAGAGAGCGTGCGCAGGTAATTGGTCAGCTGTTTAGTGGACACATGTCGCAGCGTGCACGAAGCAGGTCTCGAGATTTCGCCCAGGAGTGTAGTGGCGTGCACCAGGTTGCAGGGTGCTTGCGAGGTCGTGAGGCGTATGACGGCTTTTTGTTTCTCCTTGAAAGCGGCGCCACAGTCAGTGGACCTTGGGTGCGATCTAGGAGGAGGTTCAAGGCACGCACGTGCCAAACGAGTTTCAAGACAGCAGAGACACAATCAGATGAGCAAGGAGGTTGTCAACTATGCCAGATGCACTCGGAGATATCGTGTCACCACGCGACTCGAGCCCACGGAGCACAAGCAGCGGGCGCTTCTGGTCACCGTTTTCACGGAGTGCATGGAGGCGCAATGGTCCAGGTTCGGCGGCGACTCGGCAACGCCCTCGGCTCCGGGTTCTCAGGCAGATGCCTCGCCGCGCTGATCGATTTTTTGGCACTTGTTCGGGGCCCCGCCTTCCGGCTGCCGCAAGATTGCTGGGGGCTCTAGCTCTCATGCTGGGCTCAGCAGCCCACCATTCGAAGAGGCGTCACCAGGGCCTCGACCGCCCTCGTGCAAGCCATTCCCATGACCTGGCGCTCGCGACACATCAGAGGACCCCAGGGTGCGGTCATCAGCCATCTCCTACAGGCTCGTTGACAACCGCTAGGGCCAGCATCTTGGAAGACGCCAGTCTGGGGCGACGGCCTCGGACATCGTGGGAACTTCGACGCTGGCGATCTCACTGGCGTCGAATCGATTGACTTCTAGTCGAACTATTTCGCTGCTTCGGCGAGGCGCTCGTGGTAGATCGCCGGCGGAGGGCAGCTGAACACTTCGGAAACGCTGGACTGGAAGCAGGGGCGTGCAATCGTTCCTATCGACATCTTCTGGCTCAGCTCCAGGGGGGGCCAGACGGGCGGAGGCTGGCAGGCCTCATGCCGGCGATGCTCATCGGTGGCACCTGGCCCAGGGCTCGACGACAGGGACGTGCCAAGCAGAAGCTGAACATCACCTGTCCACGATGCGGTCAAGCCGATGAGACAGCATTTCGCTGGATTTGGGAATGCGAAGGCAGGAGCGAACATCGCATCTACGAGCTTTCTGAAGAACTGGTGGAACAGGCCTATGCTAGCGGGGAGGCGGAGGCCTGTTTCTGGCCGCGAGGGCTCGCCCCCCGTACCTGGACGCAGATCCCGGACCCGCAGCAGTCCGAAGATTGGCACGTGACCACGGGCAAATACTTCGAAGGCTGCGCAGGTCACGGAACGCCCGATCGGCCTTTGTACATTTTCGGCGACGCCAGTGGAGGAGCTGACAGCGCTGACCCCCGCTTGCGCAGGGTCGGGGTCGGCCTCGCGTGTTTCCAGGACCTGACGGATGCCATGCAGCTCGAGTTGGGCATCTGGCGAGGTCTACCTGGCGGCCGCCAAACGGTGGCCAGATGCGAGTTGCTAGCACTACTACTGGCGCTGCGGTCATGTACAGGCCATTGCGTTTATGCCACTGACAACGGTTCGGTTATCCTGGGCTGGTACAGCCACCGACGCCAGCACCCAGCTGGACCTGACAGCGTCCTCTGGTGGGACAGAGGGGTGTGGTTGGCAGCTCACCCCATTCAGGTCTGCACGGCGGTTTTTGTGCATTCGCACCAGGAGGCCGACGACATCATTTCTGGTCGGGCTCCAAGATTTGGTCTTGGGGAACATCATGGCCGATGCATTTGCGGCCGGTTGCGCCGACGTCGCCCGCGTGCCCGATTTTCACAGATTTCGTTTGCAAATGATCGAGCACAAGGCTTTTCTTGTCCGCATGAGTGCCTTCCAGAGCACCCGCGATGCCCTTCAGTGTGAAGCCGAGCTTGACAAACGGAATTTCCAAGAGCAAGCGTGCGAAAGAGCTCGTGAGGCCTCCTGCTCCGTCCATCTGCAGTATGTTTGCCTCATCCCACGTGTTGTGCGAACATAACAGTAGAGCATGCGAACGGTGTAAGGGGTCGACCACGCATGCCACACTTAAGGGCTGGCTCGGTTCTCCGTGCTTCGATCTAGTCAATCTAGACGGGGCCCTGTTTGCCCCCCCTCCTGGACTGCAGGTGCATATTGCAGGGGGTTTCCGCACACAAGCCATCAAATTCGGTATCCTTCGGGGGTCGGGGTATGGTTTTGCGCCATGTGTGGGTGCATTGCCTCCCAGCAGCTCAAAGAGCTTGCGCGAGAGTGTGCCAAGAGGGTTGAAGGTAATCGTGGGGATTACCTCGCCAGGATTTCCAAGGGTCTCTGGCCCAAAGCAGCAAGGCTGAGAGGGCTAAGAAAGAAAAATCCATGGTTTAATTTCAGTTAACCGACCTAGTAGCCTCATCCAGAACTCCAGAACTGCTCCTCCTCCTCCTTCTCCTCCTCCTCCTTCTCTCCCCCTTGCTCCCCTCCCGCCCCTTCCACCTCAGACCCTCTTCACCCGCCCCGCCGCCCCCCCTTCCGCCCCCCCCCCCCAGCGGCCGCCCCGAG